CATGGGAGAGGAGGCTGGGATTATGGTGGGGAGGGGGGGTCAGGGACATTCCGCAGGATGAAGTAGGTCATTGTTTGCTGTCTCTAGTGAAGAGAGCCTTCTGAAGGAGCTGATGAAGTGAAAGTAGCAGGGAGGGGGGGACTGGATGGGGGGGTTATTCAGTAATCCTATTGAAAAGGCTTCTGAAGGACAGTCCATGAGAGGCTGGCAGAAAGCAAAAGGAATGGAATGTGACAACTTTAGAAAGCAGTGATGGTGGTCAGACTGGGAGACGTCCAGTTCCACCACTGTCCCCATCAACCAGGAGCTGCAGGGCTGCTGAGGGGGGAGTCTGCTTTCTGAATGTTGAATCCACACTTTTCAGATTTCTGTTTGTGTGTTTACACCCATATATGAAACCCTTTTATGCTGATGAAATGGTCTCTGTTTTCACAGGCAGGGAGTCGGAAGCAATGCGACTCATCTAGAAACCATGTTTCTGTTCATAATTACCTGTTTAAACTCTTTTATTTTCTCGTGATTATTTTTCGCCTGTGCTGCTCCACTGATCCAATCAGCATCATAAACAACCTCTTCTTGAAGTCACCGATGTTTGCGTTTTTTCTCCCCTTCTCCTCCCGCAGAGTTTTTCCGAGAGCTCCTGAAAAACTCCGAGTCCTCGCTGCACAGCATGTTCGTGCGAACCTACGGCGTGATGTACATAGACAACGCCCAGCTGTTCAAGGACTTCTTCGCGTCTCTGACCCAGTACTACCTGTCCGGCAGCTCGGCCGTCAACATGGACTCCATGCTTTCGGACTTCTGGGCCGATCTCCTGGAGAGGATGTTCCGGCTGGTCAACGTTCAGTACGAGTTCAGCGACGCCTACATGGAGTGCGTGAGCCGGCACACGGAGCAGCTGCAGCCCTTCGGCGACGTTCCGCGCAAACTCCGGATCCAGCTGACACGGGCCTTCGTAGCCGCCCGCACCTTTGTGCGAGGGCTTGCCCTCATTCCGGACGTGGTGAATAAGGTGTCCACGGTAAGTCCTGACTAAAAAAGACTGCCTCCCTCCAGATTCTCTGACATCTTCAGCGCTAACCCAGCTGTGGCTCCACTTCACAGCCGGTCTTAACATAAACCTCTTGGACCGCTCTGGTTTGACATGTTTTTCCATGTGATTCATTGATGATTAGATTATTCTTCTTGGTGGAGTTAGCTTATAAAATGAAGCCTTTTTATGGTCCAACTATGTGTCCAGCTCTGCTGGAGGAGTTTGCTTTGCTGCGCTTCAGTGAAAAAGCCCTTCTAACTGCCTCCCCACCGCCTCCAGGTCAGCGCCTCCCCCAGCTGTGTCCGAGCAGCCATGAAGATGTTGTACTGCCCCTACTGCTCCGGCCAGGTGGCCCTGAAGCCCTGCCAGAATTACTGCCTGAACGTGATGCGGGGGTGTTTGGCTAACCAGGCCGACCTGGACAGCGAATGGAACAACTTCCTCGGTAAGAAGACTTGAACATGAACACCCTTCTCCCTGGAGCTGAATACAGAATTATCAAGCTGAATTTACAGAAAAAAAAAATGTCCCATTTTTCTCCCAGGGTTTTAAAGTGTCTTGTTTTTTTTGTAATCCTGCTCGGTTTTATCTAAAAGGGAACTTTTTATTTGTTGGATGCCGGCGAAGCAAGCAGAAGGTCCTCATTGTGAAGCGTCATGTACAAACATGTCGCTGGTTACTGACTTTAATGTTAAGGTGGGGGGTGCATGTCAGCAGCAGGCGAATAAAAGCTGTTATTGTTTTGTGTCAACATATGCCGATCTGCTCCATTACATTCAGGGTGGTGCACATGTCCTCCATTGTTAGGCCGGCCGATCCTCCTCTGGTCTCTCTCTGCTCCTCATCAGAGCTGCAGCTTTTCTAATGATGTGCTGCTTCCATCTAGTGGTGGATTTTAGAAATAGCACCTATGGTTTGGCATGTTGAAGAATTTATATGGGGTAATTAAATCATAGGTCTAGGTTTCTGAATAGGTTGATGTTAATTAATAAACATGAATTAATGTAATATTTATTCTCTGTTATTAATTAATTATATATGACATCAGGTGGTTCATCTGTGAGAATACAGGTTAAGAGGTTAATACAAGATACACTTCTGCAAGGAATAAAAGCACAATTATTAATTATCCTGGATTTAGGACTATCAAGCACTTAACTCAATTGGTGTGATTTATACTTTAACATTTTAATGAGTACTCAAAAATGTGTCAGTGGTTCTAAAGAGTTTTGATTGAAATGCAGAAATTTCAGAAAATTAGTTATAAGCAATCAAAAATGAAACGAAAATTTAATACTTTTAATCAGTTCTTAAAAATTTCTAATTAGTAGTAGGCCTACTAGAAAATCTGATTCATACTTAACTTGAGTTGCACTTTAAAATTGTGATAAGCACTCGAAAACGTTTGATTGTAACTCTTAAATTTGTGATTTGTACTCATAAATTGATGAGAAGTGATTCATTCTCGTAAATTTATCAGTGCTCGAAATTTTGTGATAAGCTTTTCAAAACGTTTGATTCTTACTGGTTAAACTTGTAATTCATACTTGAAAATGTGCAGTTTTCCCTCATAAATCTGTGATTCATATTCATAAAATTGGTTATTTCTTGAAAATATGTTATTTGTGCTCAAAGATTTATGATTGAAGTTGTCTCCACTAAGCTTGTATTCTCACAGAGGAAACATCTGATGTCTCATTTATGTACGGATTAACAAAGAAAAAATACAAATCTTCCATTTATTTATAGTTAACGACCTACAATCACTAATTGAAACACCTGCGTTCATTGACGGACACCTCACCCCATAGATTCTTGGCACATTTATCACAATCAAACAGCTAATTTGAAAGGATGTTCTGTGGATTATTGGAAAGAGTGTGGAACATGATGAACAGGTGGAATGCTGAGTCATGGTGATGGTGGAATGATGCCGTGGGGGCGTGGTTAATTTTGGGCTCCTGTGTTGTGCTTTCAGATGCCATGCTCGCTCTAGTCGAGCGGCTCGAAGGCCCCTTCAACTTTGAGTCTGTAATGGACCCCATCGACGTCAAGATATCAGAGGCCATCATGAACATGCAGGAGAACAGTTTGCAGGTTTCTCAGAAGGTGCGTACCGCTCCGGTTCTTCTTCTTAGGATCGAAGCTGATAAACCGGCGTCCCACTGATTTCTCCTTCTAATGTTCTAAATCAGGTTTTCCAAGGATGTGGGATGCCCAAACCAAACTCGGCCATCCGTAGCAAACGTTCGACGAGGGAAAACAGCTTTACTGGCCGCTTCCGGCCTTACAGTCCCGAAGCGAGACCGACGACTGCGGCTGGGACCAGTTTAGACCGGCTGGTGAGGAACTGGATGACAGAATGCTGCAGGTCTGTGTGTCCCGTTGTCTAAATGTTCTCTGTTCTCACACAATAGACAGCGGAGGTGAAGAAGAAGCTGAAACACGCAAAGAGGTTCTGGTCTACGTTGCCAGATACGGTGTGTGGAGTGGAACGGACTGCGCCTGGCGACGAGTGTTGGAACGGTACCGCCAAAAGCAGGTAGGAAGAAATCACTTCATCCTCATCATCATTTTTGAATAGAAACTGTCAGTCTGACAAACGCTCCTTCGTTCCACACAGGTACCAGTCTGATGTGATTGGCAACGGGCTGGCCAATCAGGTGTACAACCCCGACGTTCAGGTGGACATTACTAAACCGGACATAGTGATTCGCCGTCAGATTGCAGTTTTAAAGGAAATGACCAGCAGGCTGAGAGCAGCACACTTTGGAAATGACATCTCTGTTGACATTGGTGAGGATCCTCAACCAGCTTCCAGACCTTTGTCCTTACTGGGAATCACCTCTGGTCTCTGGTCAGCCTTCCTGCACTACCTGGACAAGAGAAAAGAGAATTATATGTTTAGATTCTTCACATGCATAGCTTAGATATAGATGATAAAGATGGGCCTGTTTTTCAGTGTTTAGTCCTGTTTCTCTCCTAGACGTAGCTACAGGCTCAGCTGTTTCTGTGACTAACTGGATGTTCTGTCTTTCATCCCTTTGACTGGTTCAGAGCTCATCTCTACAGCCACCTATGGAGCTAGTTTACTGTCCCCTTTTCTAACATAGAAAGTATTTATAGATCAGTGCTTCCATATTTGTTCTGTAAATCAGCTTATGTCTCTTCAGCAGAAGGCCACTTGCATTGGTTCTGCTTGAGGTTTTCTTCCTGTTAAAAGGGAGTTTTCCTCTCCACTGTTGCTGCATGCATGCTCAGAGTGAGGGATTGCTATTCAATTTTCCTGAGATAGAAAACTTTGAGCCAATCACACCGTACGTTCTATCTGTATCCTTTCAAACAGTCATAAATGCACAAGAACCCTCTAGATTTGACCTTTTCCTCTCCTTTATCTTTTTTTTTTTTTTTTTATACAGATGACGGTAGCGGGGACGCAGAGAGCGGCAGCGGCTGCGACTCCCCGTCCTGCACTACTGACGACATCTACTTCTCCACCCCGCTGACGCCCGTCAAGCCGAAGACCAAGGAGGTTGGCACATCATCAGCAGGAGCTTCCGCACGGGTCAGCGTGGCGCTGGCGCTCTTTGGGCCGGCCCTGGCCCTGCTCGCCGCCCCCTGGAGATAAAACTAGCGGCGGCGGAGAGGAAGAGATCGAGCAGGATTAAAAGAATGAAGGGGAACCCTGTCAGAGAGACTTTTAAAGAGACTGCCTTCAGGGCCTCAGACTGTCCGCTGTGGGGGGAGGGAAGGGAAGGGAGGGGTGGGAAGACTCTTCTTGATATTACAATAATTTCACTATTAACTATTTGTATGTTTGTAAGGACATCAGTGTATGTCGGAGGGGGAGGGGGGGTTTGCTGGGGATCCCTTCAGGTTCTGCTCGCAGCGTTACAAACATGGAAGCGTCCTCTCCAGCAGGTTCCCACTTTCCCTGGCGCTCGCCGCCACACCGAAGCTTTTAAACACCGACAGCAGCCGACGCTCGGTTGGACAGGAAGTGCCTGCATTGGGTCATCGTCGTATTTCTGAGGATGTTCTTGTTCTCCATCATTCATTACATTCAAACTGTGAATTTATCTCTAAGATTAGCCAAACTATTTCAGCCTTTTTTTATTGTTACATTCAAGGTATTTTAATGCAGAAGAGCACAACTCAGAAATACAGCAAGATGTTTCGACACAGGTGATTTCCTTAAAGGGCCCCCTACGAGCCCTAAACATGCATATAGTGCGTCAGCTATCAGCTTCATAACAGCCCTACCCCCCCTCCCCTCACTGTTTACTTCCACACAATGCACAGTTAAGCAGTAAACTCATACCTCACACATACGGTCATCGTTGATGCACACCAACGACGTGGAAAATGAGCTAAAGAGTTGGGTACGTGGTTCAGGTTCCCCCTGTCGAAACCCAGGAAGAAGACGTAGGCGACGAGTCACGGCGGCCCCTGGTGAGCTCAGCCCATCAGACGCTCCGACTCTCTGAACAGAGAGGTTGGCGTCATGGTTTTTCTGAGAATTTCAGGTAGAGTCGGGCGAACGGGAACGACAGGAGAGCGTTTTGATGAAGAACATGAGAAAAGTTGAATACAGGGTCTGAGGCGGAGGACGTGTACTTATACAGAAACGAAGATTATATTTGGTACTAAATCAATTTTATGTGACAGAGGGGGAGAGCATGCACAGATTAACCCCCCACCACCCACCCCCCTACCTGTTACATGCCTTTACTTCTAAACTCAGCCCCCGTCAGTAGAAATGGACTCATTTCATCTACTTACTTTAAAATGGTTACCCCGACAGATCGACAACGTTTTCAGGCTTTTATTTTTTTTATTTTGTCTCGTCTTTGGTCCATTTTTTTCATTTCTTGGTTTCGAAAAAGGATTGAAATGTTTGTAATCCACGGTCTATCTGCACAAAACAAGATCTGGATCTTCTAGTCTGATAATCGGGTCTGCGAGCTGCACGGCCCGGACGCTTCAGCTCTAAAGATATAGCCTCTTGTACAGTAACTTATGTTTGTGTTTTAACGGGACGGGAAAAGAACGATGTGTTGGCAAACGAATCAAAATCAGCCCCAAAATGTAGGTTAAAGACATGCTTTTAATGTTTGGATTTTAAACTATCATAGTTAAGCCCAAAATTGTTACTTAAAAAAACACAAACATGTTTTTTTCCCTCTTGGCCTGAAAATGTTGCATTAGATTCTTTGCCTTTGCCTCTGGCATTTTCCTACTAAACAATCTGTCTTTGAAGGATTTAATGAAACCTCTATGCACCACATGTAAACTGCGCTTCATTCGGCTTTACTTGTGTGATTTGATTTCCCTTGCTTTGTGTCCTGAGAACATTTCAGAGTTTGTGCACGCGTTTGCCACGTTGGAAGAGAGGAGCGGTCAGAGAAACTTTCTGAGGAAATGTTTCAGGTGACAATGGTGAATGTCTTTGTTTGCAGGCAGATTTTTTTCTTTTTTTTCTTTCTTTATTCCCAGCTGGCAGGAGATTGTCCAGCAGCTGGGTGTTAATTTGATCCACAGAGAAAATGTCAGTCCTGTAACCTAAAAAAAGAGAAAAGTCGACCTGGACGGGTGTAGAAATCCTTCCATCTGCCTTTAACCTGCAGGAAGAGGAAGGACTCGCTCTCTGAGGAGAGGGTGACCGACTGAAGAGAATGAATGATGTGTAAATAGAGAGCAGCCGTTTTTAGATGTCTCTAAAAGAGGCCTTAACCGTACACCAGAGTAAAAAGAAATGTTATGGAAGAAAACAAGATGATAGATGTTAAATTGTAAGAGAAAATGTATATTAAACATTTCTTAGTCTTGTGGAAATAAAGACTGCCAATATTTAAAGTGTTGTCTTTTTTCTTTTATGTCTGAGTTCTGCCTGACCTGAATTCACTAATCACATTTTTTAAACTTAGAACTAGAGTCATTTGTTTTATTTGGGGGATTTTAAATGTGGGGGGTGTCAAAGTTTAAAGCAGGGGTTTCCAAAGTATGGGTTGTGAGATGGTTCTCACCTTTATTGTAATAAAATGTCAGATTTATCTAACGTATAATTGAAATACACCACAACAAAAAAAATGAACCATCAAATCATTTCATATTCCGATTAAAAAATGGAGCCTAGCCTAGTCTGGGATTATCCAATGTTCCGTTTTCTGTGTCCCAAGCATGAAGTCAGAAGCCTGCCAAAGGTCATACATGCAATAGATACTGATATGAGCAGTTTTATTTAAAATACACATATAGGGCTGAAACAATCAGATTAATTCTGAGTAATTGATTATTGAAATGTTTGTCAACTACTTTAGTAATTGATTAATCGCTAACTGGAATAGAGAGACTAAAATATGGAGCCTAGGCAGAAGATAAACTGAAGAAACTCATTGCTTTCCTTCATCCACCTGCGACACAGACAATCAGCTTTGAACCACACCTCCATGAAAGCCAATCGTCATCCAAAGTTCGTCTTAAAAGGCCTCTGATCCGCTTGTCTGCTCCTGTGCGCAGGCAGTGGATGCGCCGTGTGACTTCATTCAGGTGTCCCCGTTTCAACCCACCTCCATCCCCTCCTCCACCATCGTACCTAAAGCTTCATCAGAGTGTCATTCCTCCCAGACTCTTATTACGTTCTATGTCTCATCTCAACCAGTCCGGTAGAAGACCGCCGTGTTGAGCCTGGTTCTGCCAGAGGTTTCTTCCTAACGGGGAGTTTTTCCTCTCCACTGTCGCTACATGCTTGCTCATCATAGACAGGTTCTCTCAGCCTGTGTTATCCAAACTGGACTTCCATCTTCCAGGTCCCTGAGTAAAGCTCTAGAATCAGCTCACGCAGTCCATTGGATCTCCCCATAAAGCTCAGCATACCGTCTCACTAACCAGCAGTCTGCAGACTGACCAACCTCATCTATCTCCACTCCAGACCAGTTTCAGTTTTCTTTCCTCCTGTTCTTGCATATCTATCAAAATGAAGCGCAATGTTTCCTGCCGAGGTTTGAGTGCCAAAGACCAAGCAATTGTATCAATAAATTTCTCCTAATTGTCTTTTGACCAATTTTCATTTTTACTGAAAATGTTTATATAGAGCAACACTGCACAAGATTTGGCCCAATTATGTTTTTAATTCCTGGATATTTAAGTTTATTTTTAGGCATAAGCATTTGGTGCATGCAGATGCTCTGTGCAGGCTGCCCTCAAAAATTCACCTGTTGGATCCGCCACTGAATGATTAGTGTAAGTTCTCCTTAAACACCACAGCCAACTAAACTGAACGTTGTTGTTAACCAACTGAACAGATCTGAACCTCACCTGAACAGACATAGCTTTGGTTTTCTGATGCAGGATTTCATCTAGAGGAGCGAGGGTTTATTTGGCTTTAACAGTAACTCCATGACTCCTAACTAGGTTTGTTCCGTTAAAGATAGGCTCTATGTATGCACCCTGTTGCTCTATCTCTCCAGTTCTTTTTCCTGAAAAGAAGACAAACTCTTTACATAACATTTCATAACTTATATGTATTAAATAACCATAAGACATGAGAACAGATTCTGATGAAAATTGTAATCTTACTCAGATCAGAGAATATGCTTAAAGTTTGAAGAAGGCAGCTGCTCATCTCTCAGGAAGTGGCCCCGATTAACAGTTAAAAGGCATTTTAAACATCTCCAGGTTGCCACATCATTACATCATAAACGTTAGCAGATGATTAGACATCCATGGATCCAGACTTATAAAAATATTACACTTTGTTCTTAGCTGAAGGAAACCGCTCTCATTTCATTCCATCAATGATAATTATCCTAACAGTCCAAAAACACAAGAGACCAGTTTTAGCTACGGTGCAGTGCCACCAGTGGCCTTCAGGGGCCCTAAACCTGAAGTTTGTAGGTTTAGTTGCTGAAATTGACATTGTTGCTGTCAACATGAAACTAATTGCCTCACTCTATATTAATAAATTAACATTAAAGGGTCACCAGTTGTTAGTTTTGGGGTCTCAGGGGGAAATGTTTGGGAACCCCTGGTTGAATTCTTGCAGCCAACAGGAATCAGGGGATTTAATCTTTTTAAACAAATTTCAAAAACTTCTTAGAATAGAACAGAATTCCACTTTATGGTCATTACGCTGTCACAAGTACAAAGCAACGAAATGTAGTTTGCATCTATCCAGAGACTATGTGTGTATTAACTATACATGGTGTAAGAGGCTATAAAATAAATATGGAAACTATATACATTTGATATATTTTAGTCACGAACCAAAATTTAACAACCAAGGAAAATAATATAATTAGTTTAATCATCTCAGCAAAACTGATTTGGCAATTAAAAAGAACATACCTTCTTTTTATAACTTAGAAATACTGGAAATTAAAAGATGTTGTAATAGCATTTAAAAATTTGAAAGAAGATAAATCAACCTGAAATATTCAAATTGTTTAATCATTTTAATCTACATGTAGCAGACCTGTCTTTTGTGTTGTTTAGGCGTAATTTATTATGTTTTTTATTTGTTTTCTTTTCTGTAAATTATAGGGTTCGAGCTTCAATTTATGTTTTCTAAATTGCATGTGATTTTACAACATTCAGAGTTCGTAAAAAAAAACATTTTAATGGCATTTTTATGAAACAGATGCTCTGTCGCTTCAATCTGATCCAGGATTTTTCAAAGGGGGGTGCGCACCTAAGGGTCATGGGGTCACAGGGTCAAGACAATGTGAGGCTAAAAGACCAAAGAATACTATCTTCACTCTTTCACACTACCCCAATTATTCATCCATTGATAATTTTAATGGATGAACATAAGTAGAATTAGCATGATTACATTATTGTAATTAAAAAAGGATCTCTCGGTTTTTAAAGCATGCACAAGGTTAAAAGGTAGTTTGAAGAAAAAGATTCTTATCAACAATTAATCAAACAAGTAATTTCTTTATTTCCAGAAATTATATTTACACAGAACATGAAATAAAAAAACCCAAGGACTTGGGTTCAATTAAGACAAAGGAGTTTTGAATATATTTTAACAAGATAAACTGTTGAAAAAAAAAAAAAAAGTTAAACCAGACAAAGATTATTGTTCTCTACTACAAAGTTTATGATAATGGGTTTACAAATGTCAACCTTCTGGGATGCTTCTGGGCAAATATGTCTATGATTTTGTTGATGTCTAACTGAATGTCCTTGTGCACATGCAAAAGTTGCAAAGCCACAAACCTTTCCTGTCCCATTGTTGACCTTTTCACTGCTTTAAGACCCGAGTTAGCACGTTCCACAGAAGCACTGGTAACAGGTATGACTGACAGAAGGTGAAGAATCATATAAATGTTTGGGTAGCACTTCATATCTGTTATCTTTAGAATTTCAGGGAGAGAGCTGGGTTTTTCCACTGATGATGACCACTTTGTGCGCCACAACTTCACTTCCTGCCTGAATGTTGATCCTGACGGTAGATCATCTTTATATGATGTAAA